TACAGTTTCGGCAAAAAACAAATATATCGGTAACGGTCGTTCCGGGTTCCTTGGCGACGGTTGCTGCCTGCTCGGGGCTGCTGATGATTCTAATCGCGATGGCGCACAAGAAAAAGAACGGTGACGATAGAACGGCTCGTACGCTCGGGGGCAGCCAACAATTGCATCTAAAACCCAATTCGGTACTTATGGGTTGTCGGTACGGTCGCCAGGACATAAATTTCCACTTGCACTTTTTAGTTCTCCCCAGGACAACTGTTTCTGGAAACCTTTACTATCTTCAATATCCGATCAACTAATGATCCACTTCCCGATTTCTAACCCATAAAATACATCGTAACATGGATTACAAGGAATTTGGCATCCGGTCAGGGACTACGAAGCAGTTAACTAGCATCCGACCGACGACGATGATGAAGCAACCGGAACACTAGGCCTTGAAGTGCCTGATACTAACGTGGGACGAATGTACACCCTGAAGGAGACACAACAGATGGCTAATATGCAACGGTTTGGACTGTCCACTAAAGGAAGCCTGGACGAGATCCGCCGTCGAATGAAGGTATTTCTGAGGGTAGAACCCGCCATCTATATAGAAACCCACTAGAGATGCGACCCCTGAAAGCAGCAATTTAATTTTTGCCGCCGTTCGAGCGCCTTCCTGTTGGGGTGTCGATACCTGAAGTGTTGAACTAGACCTTCACCGCTGGAGAGTAGGGGGAAGAGGCAGAGTGAGCTTAGGCATTAATCGGCTCTCTCTGCCTCTTCCCACGACCCTTCCGCGTCCTGGCATTAACCGAAGGACTTTCCAAATTTCCGCCTCCAGGCCTTAACCAGAGGACTTTTCGATCCGAGCTGCCGTCTCCGAACCGGATGGTGTGCTGCTCGCACCGCTAAGTTGTTGATAATTTGAGACGACTCAAGCAAAACCTACAAACATCTTTCACAAGATTGTCTCAGCAGTCAGAAGTTCCTGTTGTAACATGAAATTGAACAAAGGGTCCAAAGCATTGACAAAAAAAGGTTACAGAATATTTCTGAAATTATAAAGATAGTGAACATCTGCCTTGAACAAAATGGTGAACATTTTCAATATTTACTGGTTTTTTCGAATGATCTCAAGGTTATACCTGCTTACGCCCAAGCACCCATGAACGAATTAATTTATCATTGGAATTTCAAATTGAAACTCCCAGAAATCTTCCTAATTTAGAGTATGCGAAAGTTTATTATGACTTTAAAAATGCAGATTATGAAGAGTTTACTCGTAATTTATAAACTTTGACAAATATATTGAGGCCTTATTTTATTAAACAAATAGATTAACCAAGCTGTAAATATGGCTAATACGATTCCAATGAAGAAATTTAAATCGTCGCAGTAACCCAAGTGGTTTTCTAGTGAGTTAATAAAGCTAACTCGTTTAAAGAGACACTTACATATCAAATATAAGGCAACAGGTGTTGGCCCATATTAAATAGAATTTTCGCCTATTAACTAGAAGCTTGTGTAAAATTAAAACAAATAAATCTTAGAATGAATATATTAGACTAACGGAATGTGACATAAGTTCCAATCCGAAATTAGTTTGGAAATATGGGAGCAATGAGATTATAATGAACATTTATCCCAGTTGTATGAAATTTAATAATATTTCTTCTCCGGAACGTACTGAAATTGGTAACTTATTTGCCAAATCCTTTAGCTCCTCGCGACAACATCGACTTTAGCAGATTAATGGTTACTGGTAAAACCAGTTTGAACTCTAGTACGTTAACTATGAAAGAAGTGTTTGATAGTCTTTTAGGTTTAAAGTCTTTCATTTTTAATCTTATGTGTGTTTAGTTTAGCTAAGCGTATTTGCTGTTTAATTATCGTGAAATCAGCATTCAATCTACCTTGCCTAATTTTCTTGTTCATTTAATATCAAAGCAATTTAAATTAGCTTATAAACACTTAATAATAATATTAATGATAATAATAATAATTCATGACACATAACATCGATTTTGTGAAGGGAGATCAACAACAAATGGGTTTTTATATTAGAATTACATAGTTAATGTGTTAGAAGAAGGTAAGCAAGTGGGTTCTATATATGAAAACTTAATATACAAACTAAAAGCAACGAACTTAATGGCATGTTGCTTAGGCGTGGATTGAAAGCTTTATAGTAAACTGAGTAACTCGTAAAAATTGGAAATTACACTTCAGATCCAACTCAACGTAAATCTGGAGTTCCTCAGGATTCCCATTGTGGACCACTCTTGTTTAATCTCTTCAACAGCGTGTATTCTTCGAAACTACTGTTATTTACAGGATTACAGGTGATTTAAGACTTTTTAGAAATATGTCTACGTTTGAAAACTGATTTCTCCTTCAAAGTTATTCAAATAATTTAGATGAGTGGAGTGATTTAAACAATATGATACTCAATAATGATAAGTGATACAAAATTTCCTTTCATAAAGCGTGAAAATCTGTCGATTTTAGGTGTAAGATGAATAATATTCCAGTACAAACGGGTTCAGAAATTCTAGACTTAGGAGTTATTTTCGATTCTAAATTGTTTCATACCGCATATTCAGTATAACAGTCACAAAATAAACACATATATTTCCTTGTTAAAGTTTGTAAATTCAAGATCACATTGTATGAATTCCAATGTTGTCTAATTAACACTGTACCATTATATACAACTTAGTCCAACCTACTAAGGTGCTTTATAATTGTGACCGGCGACTTGAAACACTTTTCATGTCACACATTTTTTCCTAAATACTCCGTGTACCCGTGTTAATAACTACCACTACCCGGAAGGAAGTTTAATGGATAACTTACGAGTACTCTTATAGGTCCAGAATAATATACACATACATATAAGTACACGAACAATTTTTGTATACGTCTACAGATAGCTTCGATCTGTTTGACCTCAAATGTGTAAAAGCCCTCATACATATATATCTACGAACAACATTAAGCATATACATGACGAAGTAAAAATAATCCAGTTTACACCACAAGGATTTATGTTCAATTCTCAAAGGAGCCGAAATATTTTGCTTGCGGCGTGTTTTATCAACTTCGATTTTATTTTTTTGTTGTGGCAACTTTCGTCCAACATATATTTGTTGACAGACGACTGGTATTAATAACACAATACAACACTAAAAAATGACTGATATTCTGCATAACTACTACTGTATGCCATATCGGATTTATTGTCAATGCACCCCAGAATCGAAAAAAATCATTCATTCAGCGTAAAGAATAAAAATCCCACAGCATCATCCCAATGAAATTAAAAATCTTCATTTAATAGCATAATGTAATAGTTCCAACGCGCAACAGATTTTTTTTATCAAAAATTCCCAGTCAGCGACTGTTGTTTTTACAATGTCCTAATCTTTACCTAAAAAGAAAAACTCCACTTTTGGTGAATGCGGTTGTAAAAAAAACACTGAAATCAACATGTGTCAACAAACAAAATTTCATGACCTCACCAACTGTATCGCCGTCGTTTCCGCAAAAATGTTTGATGTTGCCGCAGAAGTCAAGATTAAAATCGCCACGAGCGCTCGGAGATATCGCCCGATTTTAATAAAGGCCTGCCTTATTGCAGCCATAAATCGTAGTTTTCTTTCAAAACAAGCCTGGCGATGGAGTTAATCCTACCCGGTCAATTTGTAGTTGGTGGTGCACACGACGCCGCCGCCATCTGTCGGCACACGGCGGTGCAGCACGCTGTCGACCTAACAAGCCAGCCAGATAATTGGAAAAGCCCCGGGAAATAAAACGATTCGGTCGGCGTGAAAACACCAGATCCAATAATCCCAGATTTAGTTGGCGCTGAAATAATGGAACGGTGACGGCATGGACATGGACTGTTGGACTTCTAAATCCCCTAGGTCTACTAATAACGGCCGCGTGCAAGGAAGTCTGCAACTAGTTTAGCAAAACAATCGGTTGTCTTAAGGCTATTAGTCGTAACAAGTTTGACTCTGGTATGGTTTATTGTTGGACCGTGTTTTGTTGTGTAGCGAGGGAAGCACCCGGAAAACAAGGTTTCGTGTATTCAAAGAGAAAGAACAAGCTATTCATGTACATCGGAAAATATATTATACAACGAAGACTCGAGCTCATGTTGGTTTTTGACCAAAGCTGCAGCTTTTACAATAGAATAAAGATCATTTTCATTCATCGGCGGTTCGTACTAGACGCAGACTAACATGGATATTCTATGTACTACGTAACTAAAATCGTTTCTTATTTTTTCATTTTGAAAATATTTTATTACATTTTAGTTCGCAACAGCATACGATCTAACCTTGTACGCGAACGAGTGCACCTTTTATAAACACTGGAAGAACAATCTCGGTTGCTTCAAGATACGCTTGTCACATGTGTTACAAATGATATCGCGGAGAATGGGAGTCAATATTATGACGTTTAAAAATTACATGTCTTACAACTTGTTTGTCGCTCAATTCAAGTTAGTACGATGGTCTAACGGCAAATTTGAATTAGGGCAGACTAGCAAAAAGAGCAAGCTGAGGGAAAACAAACAAATGCAGGGTGGGACGCATAGCGACAGAGGCGGGTGGCATTTCCTCGTGAGAGTCTATTTGTACTAAACATAACTACAACAGGCGACGTACAATTAACACTCGCATTATTGAGGCTATACTCCATTCTTCGCAAAAGACCCAGCCAGATAGGCGGTCTGAATCACGACGGCGAAATCCGGTATTCCAGATAAACATTCACATGAACAATGCAATATATTTGGTATATTGTGATTCTTTTAGAAATGTTTAGAAACAATTTTCTGCTTCTCTTACGTAGAACATTTACAGTTTTTCTAAAGACAAGTAACAATGAATAAATAAACTATCAATGCTAGAATTCTGCCTTTATCTTAAAGAACAACTAGGTACATATCTGATTCAAATGATTCTTCCTCGTATTCATTGCTAATAGTTGCTTTATTGTTGCAGATAGTGGATGGCAACGCGAAAACGGACGTTTCGAACAGAAAAGAGCCCGGCATCTTTTGTGGAGAGAGTGAGCAACCGCAAACTTTCATGTCGGAGACGTCCTTCGTGAAGGTTGTGTTCCATAGCGATAATTTCACCGACCAAACTTACTTTAGTTTCGATACGAGGGCCGAACAGCAACTCGTAGTATATTTGAGGTATGGGCAGCATCCGGAACTTTATCCAAATCGCCGGGGAGAGGTCGTACAAGGGTAAGTTTATGACATTTAGAACTATAACTAAATACATACATTGTCATTATATCGAAGACTTAACGCAACTAGTTTTTGATGACAAAACCGGCATTCGGACCCTAATGAACACAAATTGTGCTCGTAATGTTTAAGTTTATCCCGTTGTAAGAGTAATTTGTATATGCGTATAATTGCTACAATTGTGTTCTTGGATGAACAAAACCCTCGAGAAAAGTCGTTCTACAGACAAGTAGATTCATTATAATTAGCATCTAAATATTTTTATTTTTCGACATCCAAATCGTTTGGAAAGGTGTGCCTGCTATGCTGCTGATTCCAGTAGATTTTACAGGACATTTTTATTTATGAAACTCTATCGTGATGTAAAACATTTCAGATTTTTTCCTTGAGATACAACTAAATATGCCTTTAAAACACTTTTTTTAGTTCGAATTTCGTTAAAAGTATGTAATGAATGTGTGGTACGAATTTGCCGTCCATTTTAGTAACGCAGAGCTGCACTAGTTGCGATGAATAACCGTAAATTATGTAGATTACTCAGCCATTTGAATTTGGTGCCGCACCACAAAGACCGCAAGTGATGTGTATCTGCCTTCTAAAGTTATTCCATGTTGCACTTAACGTTGCAACAACAGTGTCAGATATTGCCTGTAAATTTCGGATTTGAAGCTTAGTTCGCTATTATACACTTATTATTGTCAGTGCCACTTTTTCGAAGACGTCCATCAGTTTCTGAATAAAGAAATGTGTAACAAATGGCAACGCAAAAGTGATACGTGCTCAAGCTCGAAATTATTGTGTGATTTTTTAAATTTCTGCTCTAATTGGCCACAACACGTACTATTCCGGACACAAAATTTCAAAACCTTTTTCGACTGCTGTGGGATTACATTTTCCTAATAACAATTTCATTTTTTAATAAAACAATTGTCCAGTTCATACAGCCCACATGGTATCGAACGCACAATATAAGCATTCTTGATTAACCCAGTCGAAGTCCTGATTTAAACCCAGTTGAAAATATGTGGGGCTTGTTGGTAAAACATATGAAGGCACAAAGGGTGGTGTTTGAAAATAGACAGCAACTTTTGACTGCTATTACAGAAGCATGCCAGTCACTACCACCAGATTACCATAGAAATCTGTGCCTCTCCATGCCTAGAGGACTGGCACAAGTTATGCAGTTAAATGAGTCTATGACAAAATATTAATTTTTTAAACTTTTTTTTTATTTGATCTACTTCAAGATTTCTTTAATTAATTTATTAAAATATTTAACTGGACTGTTAAAATCATTTTAGTTAAAAGGGATACATACACCTGTTAAATTTAAAAAGCATGGGTGAGGTCAATAATTATTGTTGCGGAATCTATCAACCGGTGTGAAGACAGCAACGATTTACCAGCAACGATTTTAGTTCGAATCGTAATTTCATGCAGGCGGCACACACATAGAAATACATATAGGGCTATCCTGTAATTCGCTTATCAGTGGTTGTGCCACGATGTAATTCAGTGTGGGAGATCTTTAGAATTTATAACGAATTGTGGTTTGAAAAAAATTTAAAATTTTAGGGGATGAGGGTGTGCACGGTCATACCATACAGGGCACCCCTGTAATTCGCTTATCAGTGTTTGTGCCACAATGAAATTTAGAGTGGGAGATCTATAGAATTTATGATGAATTATGGCTTGAAAAAAATTTCAAATTTTAGGGGATGAGGGGGTGCACGGACATACCATACATATAGGGCACCCCTTTAATTCGCTTATCAGTGTTTGTGCCACGATTAAATTCAGTGTGGGAAATCCTTAGAATTTATGACGAATTATGGTTTGAAAAAAATTTCAAATTTTAGGGGATGAGGGTGTGCACGGTCATATCATAGAGGGCACCCCTGTAATTCACTTATCAGTGTTTGTGCAACGATGAAATTCAGTGTGAGAGATCTTTAGAATTTATGATGAATTATGGTTTGAAAAAAATTTCAAATTTTAGGGGATGAGGGTGTGCACGGGCATACCATATAAGACACACCTGTAATTCGCTTATCAGTGTTTGTGCCACGATGAAATTCAGAGTGGGAGATCTTTAGAATTTATAACGAATTGTGGTTTGAAAAAAATTTCAAATTTTAGGGGATGAGGGTGTGCACGGTCATACGATACAGGGCACCCCTGTAATCCGCTTATCAGTGTTTGTGCCACAATGAAGTTTAGAGTGGGAGATCTTTAGAATTTATGATAAATTATGGCTTGAAAAAAATTTCAAATTTTAGGGGTTGAGGGGGTGCACGGACATACCATACATATAGGGCACCCCTTTAATTCGCTTATCATTGTTTGTGCCACGATTAAATTCAGTGTGGGAAATCCTTAGAATTTATGATGAATTATGGTTTGAAAAAAATTTCAAATTTTAGGGGATGAGGGTGTGCACGGCAATACCATATAAGACACACCTGTAATTCGTTTATCAGTGTTTGTGCCACGATGAAATTCAGAGTGGGAGATCTTTAGAATTTATGATGAATTATGGTTTGAAAAAAATTTCAAATTTTAGAGGATAAGTGTGTGCACGAGCACGAGCATACCATATGAGATATGAGGCACCCCTGTAATGCGCTTATTGTAATGCGCCTCTAATTGTAATGCCGACGCGTGTGAATGGAAATCACTGTACTTTGGCTGGTGCAAATATTCCCAATAAAGAATTTAAATTTTTTAACCCCGTTAGAACGACTCTTGGGGCGCCTTTATATTTGGTTATTAAATCACATGATTTTTCAGATGAGTTTGTCCCTTCAAATATCATTGACCAGCCCACCACGTGATACTGATTTTTATGTGAATACTTTACACTGCTACAATCCATACTTATGACATAGCTCATCTGAATTGACACTACACAGACAGTATTTACATTTTGGTGACAGTTGATGTTAAGGTTATTTTCAAAACCTTGAATCTTCAGTTGTAAAAAGAGAACACAGCATAATTTCTCTTTGATATTAACTTGTGAACCTATATTTTATTTGAGATGTCGGTAAAACAGATCACAAATATTAACACATCAGAATAGACACCGTTCTATTCCTTGGAACCGTCAAGACTTCAACATGATTTTCTGTGTGACTGTCTTTAAGACAAGTTCCTTATGATAAAATCACTAGATATAAACGTAAAATTTTAGCGTATGACAAAAATCACGTGACTAATCATGTGATTAAATCACATAATGTAAAGGCGCCTTTAGTGATATTAATGACAAATTTAAAACATTTTCGAAAGAATATAATCCCGTATCGAATAAAAAATTCCCGTAACCAAATGGCATGCATAAGTTAGTGACAATTATGACAGGCAGTAAGATAGCTGCATCTGCGGAATTATAATAATTCAGTTATTCCATAATTTTCTTTAAAAAAATCTTCTGAAATCACATGCTGGCCAAATCTGTACAGAAATGAAATGAAACAATTAATTATTAAAAATTCCGACAATATGAGTGACTACTGTCTATATCGTGGGATTATAGAAAAAGAACAAACACTGATGAGCGAATTAAAGGGGTGCCCTATATGTATGGTATGTCCGTGCACCCCCTCATCCCCTAAAATTTGAAATTTTTTTCAAACCATAATTCATCATAAATTCTAAGGATTTCCCACACTGAATTTAATCGTGGCAGACACACTGATAAACGAATTAGGGGGGTGCTCTATATGCATGGTATGTCCGTGCACCCCCTCATCCCCTAAAATTTGAAATTTTTTTCAAGCCATAATTCATTATAAATTGTAAAGATTTCCCACACTGAATTTCATCGTGGCACAAACACTGATAAGCGAATTACAGGGGTGCCCTGTATGGTATGACCGTGCACACCCTCATCCCCTAAAATTTTAAATTTTTTTCAAACCATAATTCATCATAAATTCTAAAGATCTCCCACTCTGAATTTCATCGTGGCACAAACACTGATAAACGAATTACAGGTGTGTCTTATATGGTATGCCCGTGCACACCCTCATCCCCTAAAATTTGAAATTTTTTCAAACCATAATTCATCATAAATTCTAAAGATCTCCCACTCTGAATTTCATCGTGGCACAAACACTGATAAGCGAATTACAGGGGTGCCCTCTATGATATGACCGTGCACACCCTCATCCCCTAAAATTTGAAATTTTTTCAAACCATAATTCATCATAAATTCTAAGGATTTCCCACACTGAATTTAATCGTGGCACAAAGACTGATAAGCGAATTAAAGGGGTGCCCTATATGTATGGTATGTCCGTGCACCCCCTCATCCCCTAAAATTTGAAATTTTTTTCAAGCCATAATTCATCATAAATTCTAAAGATCTCCCACTCTAAATTTCATTGTGGCACAAACACTGATAAGCGAATTACAGGGGTGCCCTGTATGGTATGACCGTGCACACCCTCATCCCCTAAAATTTTAAATTTTTTTCAAACCACAATTCGCTATAAATTCCAAAGATCTCCCACACTGAATTACATCGTGGCACAACCACTGATAAGCGAATTACAGGGTAGCCCTATATGTATTTCTATGTGTGTGCCGCCTGCATGAAATTACGGTTCGAACTAAAATCGTTGCTGGTAAATCGTTGCTGTCTTCACACCGGTAATCTACCATGCTATCAGTTTTGGCGGGTGTAAATTCAAGAACAGGATCCTCACTCGTGTGTTCATGATTCCAAAGTATCTATGTTTTTGCCCAATTTCATGAAAAGAACTCTTGTAATTTATGCAAACTCACTGGTAAATTAACAAAGCAGCAAAGTATTATTTCATTATCTTTACCTGAACTCCTGACAGCCTTCAAATAAGAAGTAAGGTTAGGTATTCGTAAAGCCACATTTACACTTTAATGTCAATATAATGTGAAGTCGTTTGAAATTTTTTGTCCCGAAAAATACATCAGCAGTGCAATTGAAACGGCTGACGTAAGGGTCATTTCCAACTAGAACAAAAATTTAAAAAATCATCCAATAGTTTGTAATGCCTATGACTACCTTTTTTCCCGTGAAATCGTATTGAAGAGCAAAGAACTTGCGTTCAAGTGTACAAAAGTATCCAGAACAATGCAAAATTATCAGTTCACCAGAAAAATACCTAAATAATGTACCGTTTCTGATTTAGAAGAAAATTGGGATTAAGTGGGTTACTAATCTTGATAACAAGCAAACAACTGACGAACAGCCGTTTACTCCTTGATATGTCATCCCTTGCTACCAATGGCCCTATTCAACACTCCAAAAGAGTTCAGATTCTACTGAGAGTGTGACGGCTACATCTGATTTGCCTAATCCTCTTAGCTATGATCATCAGACTGTAGAATTTATGAATAAATCATTAGAGATAAAGACATTCTTTTTCTGATTTACAAGTTCCCTAATGATGTTGACACTGTATAACATGTACACTTTTATGGAACATAGGAGTATCAAAAATAGATGTAGAAAAGTTTAACGTGAAATTAAAAAAATCTTTGACAATCCTCGCACTGCAAAAAATACTACAAAAATACTACAGGTATCAACATTGTCGGACCATTCCAAATATCTACGAATCATAATTAGAACACTTTTTTTCTTCTCATCCCTATTTATGTTCACTTTGTCTAAACTTTATACCAATTATATACCAAAATATATGTATATTCCTGTGGTTTATTCCAACATTGCTTCTCTAATGGCTAAGTACGACAGTCGTACTGCCTTTGTTTATAGTAACAATCCCTTTTAGTCGCTAATCTAACATTTGCCTGCCTTTCAAAGGCTATCGTCCCGACAATAATTTCTTAAAATTAAGCTACTCTAACATCTTACAATTCTACTCTAATTCTGTTTTTCTTTCCATTGTGAGAATGCCACTTAATTTCTGCAAATCACCCTGACCTACATCATGTCCTGTTGCTTTCCGTTTCACTACCACTAGCTTCAATCAATGGGGAATCTTTCGAATCATCTGCCATTCCTGCTTCTTTGCTTTGTTCAGAAATTTCGTCCCCTAAAAACTTCCACTTCGATTTTTCTTCAAGTTTCCGATAAAACGACGACCATAGGATCTAACTTGTAAGGATCTTTACATGTTGGAAAAAAGGAATTATTTATTAATAAGAAAGGAACTGCTTGTGGGATCAGGTTCTTCTTGATTTGTGGTCAAATGTGTGCCGCTCGTCTTGACATGTGGGCTCCTTGATGCTATTTGTCTACTCGTCTACCTTCGCCTTTGTCATTGTTGGAACTTCGTCTTTTATGTGTTCTGTTTTCCTTCAAGGTGGTCCTATTCAAATTCTCCGGAATTGTGGCCTGACCCTACTCCTCCATATGGCCTACCACTAGGCTAGTCTTCAAGACATTGCCATTCGACTCTCGTTGTGGTACCCCACGCGACATAAAGAAAATGGTGTCTATACGTTACAACAAAAATATAATTTTCTACTTTTCCTTCTCCTGTTTCTGTATCACTTTCTTCTTTCTCTTCTCCTTCCTCCGAACCCTGTTTTGATTTTCTCTGGTTCTCGACCCCGCTTCTCTCGTCCAAAATTGTAGTAGTTCTTGTTACGTCAAATCTGACACTAGTTTTCGCGTTGTGATTTTCTTCACCTGAACAGTGTTTTCTAAAATTCTCTCGAACAACCCCGTGCTCCGGTCCTCGTGCGTGCATGAAATTTTGCTCTTCTTGTACCTTCCCTCTAACTAAAGAATACCATAAATAAAACAAAACTGGAGATCACTAGTATCATACAAAATCAATGTTTTAATCAAAAAGTCTACATGAGGTTATATTCATCAAGAGGAGTCGCTACGTTTGGCTCTTATGATGTGGTTAATATACTTTCAGAATGTAATATCTCCATCATTAACACACCTATGGTTATGAAATTTTAAATGTAACTTGTCCACACTTTCACTACATAACTGCGAGGGCAGTTTTTTCAACAATTTATTATCATATATTGTTTAAATTTTGTTGAAATTTTTGCATCACGTATTTTAAAAAATCAATATTTCAGTTATTTATGAACATTTTGGAAGGACCTTGTCACCACTGAGATATAGCAAAAATAAAAGTTACCAATTTCTATGACACAAGCTTTTTTTTTGCTGTGTATCGTTTCTAACAAAAAAAATCGGAAATCTAGTATGATGTCTGGAGTTTTGTAAACTGAAAACAGTGTTGAAAACCGTGTTCTGAAATTTCCTTTAATAATTGAGATATTGATTTTTAAAAATACGTTATGTAAAAATTTCACTAAAATTAAAAGAAAAATATGATCACAAACTATTTTTAACAAAATTACCCTTATTATATACAGGAAGTTATGGACAATGTATATTTAAAATTTCAAAACCATAGGTTTGTTATTAACAAAGATTCTCTCTATAAACCGAAAATTCCACTCAGAAAACGTAGTGACTGGCCTTAAAGCAGTTTCGACAAAATTTACCCATTTTTAGCGTATAACGCAATACATTTCTAAATTTAAACGAATCAGTAATTTATTGATAAAATTCAAAATCCAGTTATCTGATGATGTTGATCAAGTTAGTTAAGCACCAAGTAAACTAGATCAGAGTAGTGTAGATTACTCATCCAGTGATGTGGTTCAATGATAAGTAGTTTTTCGCGGCTTCTGCGAGGTTAAAAAATAATAATAGACAATTATTTTACTGCACTTATACAATCCCGAACGTCATGCTATAATTAATGATGTGATATTATCCTAGGGCATGACGTATTAAGTTGCCTAGTTGCATTGTTGTTGACGGCGACTTTGTCGTTTTTATTCCATGGCTTTATATGGCAAGAATTATAAAACAGTAAATTTCAGAAATTCGCAATTAAGTTTGAAGGTTTTAAAGCTCATAAACTTTTTGTAATTAAGTGCGGGGTTTTATTATACTTGGGGGCAAACTTTTTATTTATTTTGCTTATTGCCAAAGTCACAGTACTGAAAAATGCTTTTTATCTCAAGAATGTATGTAGCACTTCTTTAGAATTTGGTCAGAGTGGATATTTATTTATTTAAGATGGTATTTACTTCCACTGTACTAAAGTGTAAAAAAATTTAGTTTACTACTACATATAACAATGCATTTCTCGGTGCTCTTTATATATTCTTAAGTAAATAATTGGATTTTATCTTTTTTTGTGTGGTCTTTGTCAACAAAGTGGTACGGCTATCTGGACATATACGATCATTTGTTCAGTATTCTAGTGTTTATTTAAATTTAATTCATGAGCCAAAAGAAAATTTATATTCAAATAAGGTGTAGGAGATGAGAAAACAAACCTGGAAGGCAGCTTTACAAAGGAACTCAACACCCTCCTTTACCGAACCTTCCCAGCCGAAAAGATGTGGGTTTGATTCGTGTTGCTATAATCAGTTTTAGTCTGCAAACGACTTAGGTTACCATTCAACTGTTAAAAAACATTTTTGGTAATAAAATTTAACAAACACTGGCATTTCAAATATACAAAAAATAAATAAATGAATGAAATTCTATGTTATAACATGAAAGTTGCTAACAGATGTAGGTGCTTACACATAGTTACAACAATGCTGCTCTGTGTCTAAATTGTACTGTCAACGCGGTTTGAACAAATGTATGTCTAGTGACGTCTTGTAATTTAATGTCCATCAAATACTCATTAGCGATCAAGTGTAACTTAATTACAGTTTTCCAATTTAGGGCCAGTAAAATTGAGTAAAATTTATTTAGTAAATAAAGCTGCATTTATATGTAGACAAAATTGGTTGGTATTATTTTTAAATAGAATATGCCAATACAAGCAATTGAAATTAATTGAAGCAGAAGTGTGACGCTGGTTCATTTGCTTGGTGGAATTTAACTTTATTGAACGACGTTCCGAGAATGCCAATTAACTTTTTACAAAAGGTGAAAATAGAACGTAATATTACGCCAATCTTTGAGAGTGACATCTCAAAGAATACTCGTGTTTGCATTTATAATTAAAGTTGAATCTACTCCAGCGACTCAATTGAACCTTTGTCGATTTTAGACAAATAATTTTGAATAAACGAAATAGATTGCTATTTCAAAGTTACTCGATTGTTGCGGTGTCTGAACGCTAACCATTATCTCCCTTACTCAACCTCTTCCAAATGAACACCAGAGAAAAATGTCATTTTTAATTAAAGGGAGTGTTCTTTTGATGCCTGCGAATAAATCTGTAGTCGACGCGTGAACGCGTGATAAAAGAAAATATCTCTGGAAAATTCACAGGAAAACCTCAATCAACAGGAGAACGTCTTTCACGACGCTCCCTTCTTTCGGCTTTTCTGTTTGATTTAGAAGCCTCAATTTTTCAGGGAAATATTCTTCGTTACAGGTCTTACTGCGAAAGGATATTCCGGGACTGCCGCCTCCAGACTTGTTACGTGCAATCTCCGGCCTATCCCGGAGTCTATCCCCGGAATTTGCACTGCAGATATTACCTGAACACAAGACTGCCTTTCATCAAGCTGTACATCGAGAATGAAGAATTCAACATCGACGGACAGCGATGCGAGAACATCATGACGTGTCCTATGCGGCCGATATCGTCAGGTTGGTAAGGATATTGTGTGAACGAATTTTGTTGTTTCTCGTACAGCAACACCAAATAATGCATGATTCGCGAACTATCGGGAAACAAATCACAAACAAGAGCTTTAATAGAGAGTATTGAAATTACTCATATAATTTAATTTCAACAAAAATTTTCTGTTTCATTTGCTCTTGTATGTTTCATTCAGAATTAATTAACATAAAGGTTATTTGCGGTCGTTGTATTCTTGGTGCTATTTTATCTTTGCCTACATATAAAGTCGCCAATTCCTTCTTGATTCGTTTTCACGCGTTTATTCGATGCAATTTGTCTCCGTTTTTCCCACCTCCAGCTTCAGCATGTGGTTAACTGAAGACATGAAGATCCATCGATATATATAATAGTAAATAATGGCAGCCGCCTATTCATAGCTTTTTTCTTTTTTTTTTAACACAATTCTCCTTTACACATAGGATCACTAGGTGTTAAGTAGCTCCTGCAATTCCACGAAAAATGAAGACAAGTTATTAATTATTATTATAACCATTAATGTGTAATTCGAGCTCCGAATAATTTCTGTTTAGTCCAGCTACAGTGTAACAGCCGAGTTATTGATTAATATATATACATATTGTATATCCAGACTATAATTTAAACACGACGCAGCTGATAGCATCTATTTTTTTTAATGCACGAGAAAATTTGTTTTGCCTGACATAGCAGATCCTTCTCAAGTCAAGTTGTGGCAAAGTAAGTATTTATCACTATTAAGATTAAAGAAATGGAAAATTATAAACGTTATGCGTTTATTTATCATAAAAAGATATCGGCTTGGAAGATCTTTGGTTGTACTAAGATCTATGAATTAAATGAAATTTGAATGACTTGGCTTTGGAGATTGTCGAGCATATTTTCACTCTTACGCAATCGATGCTCCCTCCACATTGGTCGTCAATTCTCCACAAGAGAGCATACGTTATTTGAAAAAACTAAAGTCCACATACTATTAGTAGTAATCTAGGGACTTTATAAAATACTAATGTAACTGGATCTCACATGTGTGGCATGTAGTGATTATTTAAGACAGAAAAATATCTCTGTCCTTCCTAATTTGCGAGTTTTTTTACAAAAGTGTTTCTTGTTACCATTATGGTGGTTACTCATCTATAATGTTTGTTTTATATCCATGATTTGATGAACGTAAAGTGGCCTTTTATACCCGGGGCATAATGAGCGACCATAAAGAATTATTATGCCCTATTTTGTGAAACTGAATTAAACAAAAATTTAAAAATTTATTCTTTATTTAACTAAATATTTATTTTTTTGACAATTTATTTAATTACGAAAATAGAAATTGCGTTTTTCAAACTTGCTATTCATACCAAAATTTTCAGATAAACTTAAACTCTTCGCGGATTCTGCTGTTGGAATTATTTCTGCTTCTGCCTCCATTATGCTGGCATCTAATAAACTATTATATAAAAATCCAGAATTATGTGTATTTGGTTCACTCACCGCTTTGTTGTGTTCATCACTCTTCTCGGTTATTTTTAATCTCTCCTTTGGAAGACGACTGAGATTTTGTTCTCATAGAGCTGGCAATTAAATTAGCTGTTTTATTTTTTGACAGCACATTTTCTGCGACTGTAGTACTTTTCCATTTTCAAGTTAATATAATTTTTTGCAACAGTAAATTCTTCATTTAAAAATAGCTGACTATATGACAAACAAAACAAATTTAAGTAGTTTTTAAATATTTGCATAATTTATTTTCTATGTAGGGCAATTTTAATCGACCAATTAGGAACAACAAACTTTACAAAAAGACGTACATTGGTACAGTGCTAATCATTAATTTCGAGCACTAATATCATTTCACTGTCATTAGTTTTAAAGCACCTCATTTTTTATATGTAGTTGTCATTTTCACTAAATAAGCATCTTTCCAAGATTAATTTTTAAATGTCGTCTTAACATTGTGGCGATTTTGACGTTCTCCGGCCTTTTTTTTATATTGGGGGGTCCTTTGGGCGCCAGCTGGGTAGTTAACCCAACAAGGAAAGGGACGAACGGACAACAGACTAATTTTCAGTAACTTTATATTAACAAACGCCCTTCGCGAAATGGTACCACCTCTACGATCTTACATGCTAAGTACTTTCCGCAAATTTACGTAAGCTCTTTCCTGGTGAAGCACTTCGGAGCGATTCTCTTATGTTCAAAGCTCCCCTAGGAGATGTTACCATATCATGGGACAGCAACGATGGAGACGGCAACCAACCACGAATCGATGGGTATGGGACAGTGACGACGGGCACGGCAACCAACCACGAATCGACAAATATGGGACAGTGACGACGGAGACGGCAACCAACCACGAATCGATGGGTATGGGACAGTGACGATGGAGACGGCAACCAACCACGAATCGACGGCACCCGTACAAAGAACCTAGTTCCTCCTTCTATTTAAATATTCTAGGCCAAATAGGGACTCACGTAGCTGTTCTTGGTTCCTTGATTTGCCAAAATCTCGATTTTCACAGCAATTCACTTCGCTCAAAAAACGCTCTTCACCTCCTCTTTTTCTCGCCGCGCCGCCCGTAAAAACCGATCCCACTCTTCCGCGACCTTGCTCACCGAGCGCGCTTAGATATAAAAATCGTTACAACATGTATCCTGCTTAATGACAATAAAGCTTCAACTACATTAAAATTTTTGATGTGACAGTAAACTAGTGCTTGAAATTTATTGACTAGGCCTAGAATTCTACCTAAGCTCAAAACCATGAATAAAAAATAAGATTTTCTAATATCGTTTTCTCCTTAGAGTCATCCATATCGTATTTCTATTTCTTTTAGAATTACGTATTTGGAACAATTACCTATAAAAATGTTTGTTTACTTATTTATATACTGAACAGAATCAATCCTTCGAAAGCAACCAAAATTCCTGAAGGACGATTCACATTTTATATCACATGTGGTTTTAAATATGCACACATACCGCATACATTAAATTTTACAGAATAAGATATTCCTGCACCAGTGCTTTATGGATCCGTGTTGAGTTTTTACCTTCGACATCCAAATTTTTGGAAGAAAAATTAAAATTGTTCAGTAACACGTATTTTAAAATACATCATCGTTTTCGGGTTGGAACGTGTTAATTGAGTTTTGGGCTCAACTTTTCGCACACTTTCGTAAATTGCATCTTCAGTAGCAGGGTTACGAATAAGGCAAAAGAGCACGGTAACTCAATATGTCAACCATACCAGAGGCGGAACTTTTCTGGCGGGAAAAATGTGGTTGTGACCTATTTATAGAGACGTGGTGGGGGAAACCGTCGTGGTTGAAGCTGATTGGCCGGCTCCGGGAGGAGTGGCGGGAGATAAAGGAGCTTTTGCATCCACTGTGGGCTTCCAAATATTTGACAGATAATAACTATTGTCTCGGATGAGGTCATGAGGACATTTATGGATTTCAATAGTAACTTCACTGATTTTCCGGTCATAGAAATGTGGTACTTTGGACAGAACTTGGAAATTTTCAAACAGAATGGTGTGACCGGTTTCATGTTGGTGTTCAGCTACGGCAGAGTGAGTCAGAAGACCTGTTCTGAGACAACGTGTGTGTTCTTGAATTCGAAATTTTATGGACCTACTAGTTTCTCCTATATATTTTACACCACAGGAGCAGGGAATCCTTTATATTCCTCTACAGTCTAGAGCTTGGCGAGAATCTTTGACAGAAGGAAGAATTTGTGCAATTTTAGTTGCAGGTTTGAAGACTGTTTTAATTTTTTGTCTTTTGAATATTTTGGCCAGACGGTCGGTGACCTGAGGAATGAATGGTAGATATGCAGTCGATAAGAGGTCAGTTGGGCGATTTGAAGTATCGTCAGAGTTGGGATTAAACCGACGTTGAATGGCTGACTTGATAGTATGGTGGTCGTTTCCATTTTGTTGCAGAGATGTTTGGAGATGTTCTAATTCTTTCCAGAGTTTGTCCGGTTGACAAATGGTAATGGCTCGATGAATTAGGGAGTCAATGACACACCGTTTTTGGGCGGAGTGGTAATGAGACGTGGCGGGAAGTCGTTCTTTCATACAAGTGAGCATACACTGCGTGCGAGTCGAGAGCGCAAGAAATAAGAGACAAAATTTTTGGGAGGGGGCTATAAATCGCATACCCTCCCTAGAAGGAAAAAAGCTGTGTGCGACCTCCAGCTCCACAAGGAACCGCACACTCCGCTTCCGCCACGTGTTTCTGTGTTATTTACCTCAATTCCATTTAATGTCCACATTCTATAACTCTGATATTAAACTACAATCGGATAAGTGTTAAAGTTTCAAAATGAACAATAAAGAACATTTAAACACGCCATACACTTTCGGGAAATTTTAAACGGCAAAGAATTCTTATCTAAGATTAAAATTGGACATCAGACAATTTATATGATGAAAACATTAATCAACAAAATATTTACAAAAAAAAAAACAGCAAAGATTTACAAAAACAACAACATCTGGTGTGAAATAAAACTTGTGCAGACAAAAAAGTTACGTGAGGTTAGAAACTGCAGAGGATGAAAATTTACATTCTATCTACATTATACAGCAAAGAAAATTACTGACGGTAAAATTGTAAGATAGAGAAAATTGCATGAGCTGAAAAATTACAAAGCTAACAAAATTACATGAGGTTAATATTTTATATCCGAATTTTAAAAAGTGAAGTTATTTAGCGGCATTGTGTGTCATTGTTATACATTCTTCCAAACAAAGACATACACAAAAACATAGCAGGCAATCTAGAGGTTCAAAATGGCATCGGACGAATGTATCGAAATGTGATCAATCCTGTGTCCCACATGAGTCACAATGTTGTTAATTTGTTCAACGAGATTTTACAGTTCAAACATGTGCTCGGTTTGAAAACACTCTTTCAACCGCTGTCAGAACAAAGAATTTAATTGATGTTAAATTATGCCACACTTTATCAGCGATTCAAACAAAG